ACAGAGGACAAACTGAAAATTTAATGAAAGAAAATATGCAATAATTAAGGACATAATTGCAATAGCAAAATTTATATTACAGTATAAAAAAGGATGGACACGATGTGTTTAAGGCTGTAATTTGTTCAGAGTATAGACGGGGTTTATTCCAAGAATGTTACAAAAAGAATCTAGACAATCTTTTTTCTTGTGACAATAATAGAGTGTGGTTGAGGAAGAATGGGGTTTGTGAGTGTAATTGATCTATCAGTAGAGACTTTCTGCACACCCTCTTATCATTTAAAAATCTAAACCCTTTAGCTGATACCTCTCTTCTCCAGTTGAGTTCACGAGTATGCTCGGAGATTAAATCTGTAAAAATACGAACTTTCCTCAAAGAAAGTCTTTCTTCCAACATCTCATACATGTGGTGAAGCAACAATGAGAAAAAAAAGTTTCAAGGAAACACTTACCAACTATGAAGAAGAGGACAGCTTCCTTCACAGTTCTGCAGAAAAACAAAACACAAGAAGAAATGCATTATTGTCAGCATGTGTTAAAAAGAATGTGAAAACTAAAGTGAACGACAGGTCTCACTGTTAGTTTATTACAATCACTATTCATAACCTTTTGCCAACATCCTTCTTACTGACCAATAATATCTGCCCCGAGGCTGCACTCAGATTGCGACAACCTCTTATGTATGAATGGATAAAACCTGAATAAACTGGTAAACCACAGACGGTCATTATCATTATTCTGTATTGTTATTTTTCACTCATTTCTGTCTCCAGGCCTCGTGCTGTTTGATATGAAGTTATATTAAGACCTGAGGGTAAGAGAAGGACACTGCACAGACACACTTTGCATGAAACAAATACAAGCCAACATAATATTTTGCTTTCTTGAAAAAAAAAGAAAAAAAGATTTATGTATGTAAATCAAAAACTTCTCCTCTCTTATACATTCATGGCATTCTAGTCTCTATCATGAAAGAAAACGGCACATTGCTCTGCAGTCATCCCAGATCTGAAGCCTCCTTCTCTCACTATTAAAGTCACTGTTTCTCTGACAACTCGGAGCAAGTAAAATCCTGTGTGACCCGCCTCACCGGGCTAATGTGGTGTAGTGTATCCTGCCCACTGTTCGACACTACAAAACACGGCCCTGCTCAAATACAAACTGTTTCAAACGCAGCATTTGTAATATGTGTTGATGTGCTTCTCTTATTCTGTTTAAGTGTGAGGATGATTCACAATACACAACACACACCATCCCACTAATGATCACCACGCAAAACCCAACGTGTTGTCGCTGTGGCCATGAAATTCAAACTTTAAGGCAAAAAGACACTTTATTTCCACAAGGGAGGGAAAATATCAACCTTGGAATCAAAACATTGAAAATAATTTTCCTCTCCGGTTTAATTTATTATGAAATAATTACTGACACCTCTGCAGATTCCTTAGTGAACAACACAGATGTTTCATTTTGGTGCATAAGCTACAGCTTGGGATGCGTAATTGCTCGCCTCACACCGGCAGAAGAAAAGGTGTGTCTCAAGATACTATGAATAAAAGACAAACAGACAAAGATATTAAATAGAATATAAACACAGACACATGACACAGTGCGGTTACAATAACAGGCACATTAAATAATCTGCAGTTTTCCTGACATTCAAACTTCGGTTTTAATCGTATTAATATTATCAATACGGGGCTGAACCCAACACTTCCTTGTTTCTCTGTACAGTGTAGTGTAATAATACGATAGCCTCAATCAGCCTTTAACCCCTGCCCTCAGACAAGGTAAATGCATCCATTGCACTGACTCCAGGTCAGTAAGTAAGCTTGTATTTTTGGATGGCTGCTGCCGATTGTCTATGCACTTTAATAAGCGGGCCGCAGGTCTGGCAGATTTATAGGCCCGTGGTGGGGTGTAGGGACCGGACTCCCTTGGCCTCCAGCTTCCCCCTGCGCCATTACGCCAGAGTGAGATATAGTGGGATATTGATCCCAATGCCACTTCATTTCGCAATAACTATTACACAATATTCTCCGGGGCTGCGCGTGGCTCCTGATTTATGCTGCCTTGCTATTTACATTAGCAGTAAGTGTTTTTCTATACCAACTGAGGACAGTCTTACAGCCACACAAATGGACATGTGAACATTCACATTCCATACCTGTCTTTTTGCTGCCTCTGATGTCTTTTCACAGTAGCAGGGGTCCTTAACACAGCGCAGCCTGCTATGTGTGGGTAATGGAAAATGCAGACATAAACATATTGAGGAATACATCCCAGGTGTTATTGCAGCTTTGCAAGTGACCTTGAGGCAATGTTATTCTCTGTATTATATCTTATTAAAGATTTCTGCTTGATCACATCCACTCTTTAGGATGTGATTATATTCAGGGAGAGGATTTTGAGATATTTCATATTGTTTCATTCTCACTTGTTGGTTAAAGCCGTGTATATTCAAGCTATAGAAAGAAATAGAAAATAAAGACGACCGCGGTATCGGTGTTGAGAAACAAAATCATAAATTTAATATTGTGGCATATTTGCATTTTAAACATATGGATTTACAGTAGAGTCCGTATCGTGATGTATAAGCTAAACAGCTCAAATTCAGACTTTGGGTCACACTGTGTTAATGTGTGAAAATTAGTTTGCCAGAAACATATTTGATAGAACGTAGCCAATTCTCAAATTATATCACGTGAAAGAATTTGTTGTCATGATCAGGTTATTAAGGCTAAACAGCCAGTGCCTCCTGAGCATGCACCGTCATCAGCTGCATACTTCAGTGCTGGGTCTTTGCCAAAGTGGCTTCCCTTGCAGTGCCAGCCTGGTGCTGAGTGTTTGTTTACACACAGAGCGAGGGCTTTGTCAGTGGCAGAGCAGGAGACATGAATGGGGAGGAAGGGTGGGAGACAGACCCTCCATAGTGCTGACATTCCCACGGGCCGCCCCCCCCACAGGTGGCACTGCGCCCCAGATGCTTTCACTGGCTCATTGTGCCACGACAGAAAACAAAAGAGCTAATGATCCTTAATTGCTCTGGAGCCGTTTAAAATCAGATGAGAGTCGCCTAAGCTGCGGTATGTAAATCAAGTCCCCCTCCCCGCCCCTCTTCCCCGACTACCCCCTAAGCTCTCTCCCCTGGCACAATCAAGTCTTTTTCTCATAAGGGGGCGGGCAGCTTAGCAGGCCCGCTGCCAAGTGAAGGGAGCGGGCAAGCATGTTAATGTGGAGACACTTGTTGCTACAATGCCTGCCTGTTACACCAGCACATGGTAGAAATGGGGCGACTGAGCGGCGTGTGTGAGGAGCAGATGGGCATACTATGGCCTCCACGTGCTTCCATATTAAACATGGCAGGAGAAAAGACGCGTGCTCCGTTGTCAGCTCTTGAAGCTGGCAGACACTGCGTGCATGTCCCATTCATTAATAGGCCCATTCATATGCAACACAAAGTTTGATTGAACACAAATGCCCCATTAGGGATGAAGAGATTGGTTGGTGAATGGGAGTCAGTGTGTGCGTGCGTGTTCCAGCGCAGTTGCTTGTGCTTGTTTGCATGCATGAGTGCATATCTTTGAGAGTGACAGGGTTTGCTTTGTGTAATATTAAAGGTTATACAGGATGCAAGTATTTGGGATATTTAATCACGACTGTACTAATGAAAATAAAGAGCTATTTTGACCGACACTAGAAACAATGAAATGCTTTAAAAATAAAAAAAATAAAAAATCATCTTCGTTTTTAATTTTTGATATAAAAACCCATTTACGTTTTGCTGGTCTTGAATAAAACAGAAAATAGCAACTGCGGATCCATTATGGAAGTCGTCTCCAGGAATGAGCCTGAGATCGAGCAGGTGTCTCAAGCCCGTGACCCACTGAGAGGTGAGCGATGTCCTCCTGCGCCCCGATGTGTCCCGCTGCTCCCGCCACACCCATTAACATCAAGTCGTAATGCATTTCCCATACCTGCATGCTTTACTGATATATGGAGTCTCTGGTGATTTAAAGACAGCAACAAACCTGTCCCATTTTCAGAGTGGCATTATTGATAGACTGTCACTTCAGATTGTGGGTAACTGCTAATGGTTATTTTATGGCGCACGTGTCAAATCTGATGAGTAAATTTTTTCCATCGACTCTCTTATCTTCCTATTTGTTTTATTTGACTCTGATGATTGCCTCAAGATTATTGCCATTTTCTTCTTTGAATAACATGTTATTTATTGTGCAACTTTACCTTGAGAATACCGAATCCTGTTGCCGTATGTGCAGGAAGTGGAATTAAAAGTTAAAATATATCAGTTAAATCAGAAGTGTGTTTTTTTGTGTTCCTGTCCATCCTGCCATTTAGAAACGCTATAGCTCCCCAAACAGACCACCGCCTCCTCATCACCCCTCCACTCTTTATCCACTCCACTGTTTTCTCCCTGTGAACCTGTATCCCCTCTTGTCATGGATTAGCCTCCATACTTGCATGAACAAAGAGCCAGTCAGCATGTGTTTATGTGCATGTGCTGCGTGAAGAGGGGACATATCTCCACTTATATCCAGATCTTAGAGGACCCCCAATTTGTTAGGCATTCATCAGAACACCTGCTCAGAGAGCACCCTATGTCAGTGGCTGACTTTGTCTCCCAATGGTTTCCTGGTTGCCAGGCTTTTTGTTTCACCACTTGAGTCATCAGTGTCATTTGAAATCAATTTACCTTTTGTGCCCCAGACTGATTTGTGTATGCAAATGCTGCATGGGGAGAAAAGGAATAAGCAACATAAGGAGGAAAAAAAGACAATGTACGAGGCAAAGCAGGTCTAAGAACTTACTCTGGTATTAAAGAGCAATAAGCCATCAAGTGTTTTACAACAGGAGATGTAAACAGAGGGCTAAAATAAACAGAATTTGGCTGTACATTATAGAAACAGCAGTGGCTTGTGTCTTTCTGAAGGACAAGACATGCAAGGGAACCAATGTTTGAGGGAAAAGAAGAGTAAAAACGCATATGACAGGACGAGGAAGATTAGGTCAGAGAGAGGCCAGGAAAGAAAGGGAGCAGAAGAAAGAGGTAGCAGAGGAAACAAATGAATAAATTCATGGGGCACAAAATGAAAAGAAAGATGGAGGGGAGTGGAGTAAAGGAAGGGGGTTGGAGTCATCAGAGGAAGATTTTTATTGTCCGGACACAGGAGATGCACACAAAAGCACTGTGAAGATTCAATTAAGTATCATATGCAGTGACCTTATTGCCATGGTTACGGAGCAGTGGAAATATTAATCAAGCCTGCACTTGCAACAGGGAGAAAGATGGTGGAAAGAGAGAAGGAAGGCAGCTATAAGGGAGACAGAGGGTGGTAGGAGAAGGGTTAGGGGATAATGGCACAGTCTACATATAGCATGTCTGCGGTTGTGTGTGTATGTTTGAATTGATGTGAGTTTTTAATGAGTGCAGTTGCAAAGGTCCATGACTGTCCCCACCATGCC